AAAGGTAATAGGATGTTTTTAATGTTTTTTTTTACCATACTGCCTATTTTAACTAGCCACTTACATGCATTACAAGTTTTGTTTAAAATATAGATTTTGTTTTTTGTGTAGATCAAATAAGGGATTATTAATACTTATAGTATATAAAAAAAGAAGGTTAGTTATATTCTTAAAAGAATATCAAATTTAAAAGCAAAAGCAATAAAACAATCAAAAAACAATGGTATATTTAAACAATTAACGCAAAATTTTATCTTTGAATAAAATTCATTTATGTGTAATTTTAAAAGAGATTTTTTTTGTTCTTCCAATATTTCACTTTAATTGAAGGACTTCAATGTAGGGGCTTCACAATTTCTGAAACAAGCATCACTATATCATTTTCTAAACCACTTTATAACATAATCCTACAGATCAAAATGAGTAAATAGTGGACCTACTAATCAAATAAAAATTAAACTGGGCAAGTTTTTGTTACCAAAAAAGTTTTAGAAGTAACTTTAAAAAATAAAGAGTTTATAGAGACACAAAGAGGTGGAAAAATGTCTAAAAATTGTAGAAGAAAAGAAAAATGTTTAGAGATGAGATGCAATGTTTATTAAAAAGCAAGCTCAACAAAAGACTTTTGGAAAAGAAAAGAGAGCATTTTTTGACTTTGAAAAAGTACCAAAAGAGGTGTTGTAATGGACTTTGAGGTATTTAGGTGTTGAAAAATTGCTTGTTAGGTAATCATAATATGCATGAAATTGTAAAACAATCAAAACAACAGAAGTTTTAAAGATTGACATCAAGATTCACTAATATGTACATTGTATTTTATTATTATTTTAAAATTTCTTTCTGTGCTCAGTGTTTTTAGGCCGGAACCTATTCTATGCAAATAACTTACGCTTGATAGCTGACACAGAAAAAAAAATTATATAATTATTATACTATTATTTATTTAACTATAACAAATGATTAAAAAACAACAACTGGGATTTCAGTGTTGGAATAATGAAATAGATGCAAAAGAGCTTAGGATAAACATAAGTAAAACAAAAATTAAACACACTAAAGTCAAGAATAAGCAAGTAAAAAATAAATATTGGAGTGTATTGGAGTGTGTGGAGTATATTAAACTGCATATATGTGGAGTGTATTGAAAAAAGTTAGTGAAAACTATATTGGGTATTTCCATTTCTGTGCGTGATTTTTTCTTTTTCTTTGTTTTAACAATTAAAAGCTGGGACTTTAACCAACATGCATACTATTTTGATTTTCTTAAAGAAAATTTAATAAAATATGATAAAAAAAATATTTTTATCATATTTTAGGTTACCTTTATAAATTAAAAATACATATTTTTATAATTTTATTTTTTTGCATAGTAATATCGCTTCAGTTTGAAAATATACAATAATTTTCAAAACAATATACTCAAGCTAGAAATAATCGATGACTGCCATTTCTCATCAAAAATATATTAAATATGAGTCGTAGAAGTATAATATTTCACTTAAAATATGCTTTTAAGTGAAATATTATACTTCTACGAATATATAATGCTTAACATATTATTTAAAAAAATTAGTATACCGCTGAAACTTATATTTTCCGAAGAATTAAAGTTTACTTATCTAATAACTATAATTTAAGTTTTTCTGTTCTACGGGCATTAGTAAGTCTATTCCACACTGATCTTTTCTATACTTTTTCCTTATATATATATATCCTAGCTTTCTGAACCCATAAAATATGAGTCTTTACCAAATCTACCATTTCTATATTTATCTATTCCACACTGATCATACCTATAGCTATCATTTGTTTACTTCAATATTTATACTTAAAATAATTCATTTAAAAAAAAATTGTTTTAAGAGCAAAAAAGTTAACATGCACACCCTTTCAGCATACCTAGAGCTTATAAGAGATTCATAATTAGGTTTATTTTTCTTCTTAACACATCATTGATTGCTCAGTTGTTTAGTGCATCAGTTTAGTCAGTTGTTAGTTTATTATTATTTTATAATAGCAATGGTATTTTATAATATATTTTATAATAGTATAGCAGAACTAAAAAAATCTTAGAGCATTATAAACTATAGACTATAAAACGCTAAGGAATCGCCCACAAATTATGCAATGCAACTTGATATATGTTTAAGTATGTTTTATGTATGTAAGATATAAGTTTCACATTTGCTCACGTTTTCTTATAAAGCAAGCCTGCGCCTCTTTCTCGCCAATACCTCGGTTGCAATGGCTACCAAGGGTTTCATGTCAAACACGCTCTAAGGGACACTACTACTATTAAAACTATTAAGTTCAGCAATAATATATAGAGATTAGAATTAAATGAGAGTAAATTGGAGATCACCAGTTTTATTTTTATGAAAAAATATATATGAGTTTACGTGCATGATTTTTTGAATGCCCTATTGCTTCTACAGTTTGTAAGCAATGAGTTCATAAAAGAAGCAGTATATAAAGTAATCTTAAAATTATTGGCTTTGAGCATAAAATGTGTACTTTTGATGAGTATAGAGAAGTTAAAATATGATGATGATGATGAAGATGATGATGATGATGATGATGATGAAGATGATGATGATGATGATGATGATGATGATGATGATAATGATGATGATGATGATGATGATGATGATGATGATGATGATGATGATGATGATGATGATGATGATGATGGTTATAATGATATTTATGAGCAAAGATAGGGAACAACTCATGCTAAGTTTAAAATATCCCTTCTATCATCAGGATGTGAGAGCATATTTCCATGAATATCTGATGCAAAACAAACAAGTTGGGTAAAGAGATGTTTTAGAAGAGAACATACACTTACTAGCATTTGTAGCACTGGATAATTTTTGTGAGGACTCATTAAAGATAAAATCTGTCAAATTGACATAAGTCAATCAATTAAATAAATAAATCAACAGTGTAACACAATACCATTACTTTGCAGCTTTGAATTAAAATGGTTATTATTTTACACTTTGAATTAAATTGGTCATCATTTTATACTTAATTAAAATCGTCATCATTTTTAACTATGAAATAAAATGGTCATCATTTTACACTTACAGGGTTTTGCAAAGTTAAAAGTGCACGTTTGCAAAGTTATAAGTGCACATTTACAAAGATATAAGTGTACATTTGCAAAGTTATAAGTGCACGTTTGTAAAGTTATAAGTGCACATTTGCAAAGTTATAAGTGCATTTATAAAATTAATTTTAACTCATATTTTAAATAGCAATGGAAAGAAAAGTATGGAAAACAATTAAAGAAGAAACTAGAAAAAAACGACTATTTCAATGAGAAATTGTGAAAAATATTCAATCAAGAAAATACCCAACGCTTATAATTCAACTCGAAATGCTGTTAGTCGTGTTATAAAAAATAGTGATAATAATATACCCTTCACGTCATCTACAGTAAAAAGAAACATATAAAATCAAAAATTCTTTAAATACAAACATTGGACAGACAATATTTAATTCCGTGGTCTGTAACAATGCCGTAGTTCAAAAAGAAATCCAAACACAAATTTTAGAACAACATGGTAAAAACGTTTCAATCTCGTTTGTTTCCCGTAAAGAAATTAAATTTGACACAAAAAAGATTAACAATCATTCCTCAAGAAAGAAACACCATGGAAAGAATAAATCAGAGATCAATTTTTGCGGCAGAAGTTGCTAGAATCGCTGATTCAAATTTGTTTTTTTAGACGAAACCAGATTCAATAAACATACAGTGCGCTCATATGGCTATTCTCCAAAAGATACAAAAGCGTACTTGACAGTTCCTGCAAATAAAGGACAAAATGTTAGCCTCATGTGCTTAATTTCCAATTTAGGAGTTGAATGTTACCAATACAAAAGCGGCGCATACAATACACAATCATTTATTGATTTCATCAACAACAAACTAGTACCATTCTTTGCAGTAAATCCAAATAAAATTCTTATCCTAGATAATGCAAAATTTCATAAAGCAGCTGCAGTACTTCAATTACTAAGAGAAAAAAATATTACTCACTAGTTTTTAGTACCATACTCCCCTGAATTGAACCCAATCGAAGAGTTCTTTTCAATGTTAAAATCCAATTTCAAATCCACGAGAAATGCTAATCCCGATATGACTGTTAAAGAAACTCTAGAATATATTTTATCACTTGATAATAATTATAGTCAACAGTGCAATGCCTTTTATATAAATATGTGAAGATGGTTGGAAAAGACAATAAGAAGAGAAGAATTTATCTAATTAAAATATTTAAAATGATTTGTTTATTTTTTTTAATAATGTATATTTTTGCATGCCTTTTTAAAATATTATGATTAAATAATGTATACTATTTTTTAAAAATTATGAAAGTATCTAACCTTATGGAAATCTAAACTTATGGAAAGTAAGTATCTAGAATCTAATCTAGAAAAGTTATTGATATATAATAATATGCTAAATTAAGTAAAAATGTAAAGAATTTTCACTAACTAATCACTTTAAAAAAAAAAAAAAAAAAAAAAAAAAAACACTTATTGATTGCTATGCTGTAATTTAATTTAATATTTTGTGCAATGTTTTTAAGGCTAAAAAAATAATTTCCAAAAAAATGTATACGCACTTATAACTTTGCAAGCGTGCACTTATAACTTTGCAAGCGTGCACTTATAACTTTGCAAACGTGCACTTATAACTTTGCAAAACCCTGTAACTAAAATAGTCATCATTTTTAACTTTGAAATAAAATGATCATCATTTTTACCTTTGAAATGAAATGGTCATCATTTTACACTTAATTAAAATGGTTATCATTTTTAACTTTGAAATAAAATGGTCATCATTTTACACTTAATTAAAATGGCCATCATTTTTAACTTTGAATTAAAATGGTCATCATTTTACACTTAATTAAAATGATCATCATTTTATACTTAAATAAAATGTACCCTTTAAAAAAACATTTTTTAACAAAAATTAAAGAACTTACGGATGTTTCTTTAAATTTATCTTTTTCATTATTGTAAAGTGAAGTCATGGGTTTCATAAGGCAGTCAAAGTAAAACTATAAAAAATTATAAAAATATTAATTATAATCATTATATTCTATTAATTCCTTATAGTAATATACAAAAAATACTATTTTAGGAATACACTAACACACCATTGAATTAATAAAATATAAAGTACACTTTGCAATTGAACCTTTTTCCACATATATGTACCCAACTCTAGTATACAAAATACATTTGTATTGTAACATGAAAAACATATACAAATAATATTATGTAAATTAGAGTAAAGCTAAATAGTATAATAGTGTCAGTCTTTTATTTCAAAAATGACAGAGAGTTTATTATTACAAATATGGTACAAAAATGATATTAAATAGTACATCACAACAAAATTCTTTCTTACAAACATGTTGTAAAATATATAACTTTACAAAGAATCTGTCACAATATCAGTATAAGAATATCATAAAGTATAACACTGCAAACAATTGTTGTTAAATATATTATAATATGGAGGTTGGACAGTATATCGCTACAATATATTATAAAATGAAGGTTGGACAATACATCATTACAATATATTATAATATGGAGGTTGGACAATATATCAAAACAATATATTATAATATAGAGGTGAGACAGTATATCACTACAACATATTATAATATGGAGGTTGGACAATATATCATTACAATATATTATAATATGGAGGATGGACAATATATCACTACAATATATTATAATATGGAGGTTGGACAGTGTATCACTACAAGAATATTGCTTCTATATATATTGTAAAAATATTTTTTGTTTAATTCAAATGAAAAAATGAATTACCATAACATCTTTAACAAACTTGTAAAGATAGATAAATTTCACTCTTCCAACCTTCAAGCTTAGCGTGATTTGTTTTTGGATTACACTGTCTGTTGTAACTTCTGAAGCTAAATACTTATTTAAAAATAATTTAATAAAAAATTATTTTTTGTTTAAAAAAAGTTTTTTTTAAAATAATTTCCTAAAAATGTCCTTTATTTTAGTAATGACTTATCAACAAACTTTTTTTAAGTAAATACATAAAAACAAATTGAAAACAAACAATTTGTTAACTGACATTTTTTTTTGTTTTTAAAACATAACAAAAACTCAAAACTTTATAAAACAAATATTATTAATATGAAAATCTTTAGCTATTTGTGTTTTTTATTTTTTTCTGTTTATTTTATAAAGTCAAATTTTTCATTTTTAGTTAAAAAGGCTTACTTATTGAAAATTTTATTTGTCAAAAAATAAATCCTAATACTTGGTTGTGACAATATATTATTGTTGTAGGCCAGTTTTGCGAACCCTTGGCCTAATCCTTGCTTTAAAGCCAAAAGTTAAACTTGCAACACGCGGTCTGGGATTCAATGTTACACGGCAAGGTACTAGCCTAACAACATTTGTCCTTTTAATTATAAAATTTTTGCAACAAGGTAACATTTTTTCTTGGCTTTGACATAAAAATTTTGGCCTTGACCTTGCAATATATGGCCTTCTTATGGCTATAACATTTCAATATTTGGCTTTGTTAACAGCTCTGTTGTAGACAATATGTTTTTACAGTGAATTACATGTTATAGGTGTAAAGTCTTATTGTTGTAAGCCACATGTTATTGTTGTAAACCATATATAATTGTTGCACATGTAATTGTTGTAAACCACATGTACATGCATTTATTAAATTATATATTTAAAATATATTTTAACTTAAAATTAAAAAGAAACTAAAAGTTTAAAAATAAAAACTAACCTCTAATACAAGTGCATTATCATCAAGCATAATAAAAACCTAAAAATGAAAGCTCGTATATATTATAAAACCTAAAAATGAAAGCTCACATATATTATGAAGCCTAATTATCATATATATTATAAAACCTAAAAATGAAACCTCACATATATTATAAACATATCTTGTTCACTATCTAACCATAAACATATCATGTAACAACCTTACTTGCTGCCTCATGAGTATTCATGAGGTAGCTTAGCCCAAATTCAGAAATTTTTTTCCAAAAAAAATGCCTATATACAGCAATGTTTCCGCCAAATTTCCTTACCCCCCATAATAGTACCACCCGTGGCACTGCCACAGGGGTACCAAATTATTTCCTAGAATAGCCCGTGTCAACTCTAATAGTTAATACTCATTGGTTTATCTTTCCAATTGAATGATTATACTTATGTATATGAAATATAAATAAGTATATTGTTGAAAAAAAATGTTATAACTCAAAAATCATTTAAAAGCATAAATATTAATATACCTGATTGTATAAACTCTCGTGTGACAGATCTTCAATACAGAAACTGTTTAACCTGTAGAATTTGTTGATTTTTGTGTACAATATAATTTTTATATAATATAATATAATTTTTGTGTACAATATAAATATAATATAATATATTATGTTAATAAAAATAACAAATCTTAAAATATGTCTTTACCTTCAGTCAAAAAAAAAAAAAAAATTCAACCTTAATTTAAAAGAAGTAATTTTCTCTGTCAAGAATCCCATTAAAACAATATCTATTAAAAACATTAACCACATCATTATTGATGAAATGTTATTAAGCAAGCATGACAATAAAAAATTTATTGAACCATTCATTCTTGTGACTGCTAAACAAATATCTGAGCAACACCAAGTCATAGATAATGATATTACAGTTGCATGAATATTAAGATGAGCTAAAATTTATTCACAGTAAGAAATCAAAATGCATATCTTTCAATTATTTTATATTTAACTGAAAACAAAAAGATTTACTTTCAATTTGATTGCTAACTTTATTTTCAAAACATATATTATCGATTTCTCCAGGAATTGTAAACATATTATAAAAACTAAAAAATATTAAAGTACAATTAAAAAAAATATAAATCAGAAAATTATTACCTAAAAATGAGGACTTTGTGTTTAAAATTAAGTTTAGTGGTTAAAATGTTACTTTTTTATGAGTGGCTTTATATATAGCATTATGTTACTTATTGCACAATAATCCAAAAAATATTTCATGCATGGCTTTGTATATAAATTGTTACATATTACCCTATCATTCAAAATAATTTACCTTTTTATGTGTGGCTTTGTATATAATATTATGTTACGTATTGCACAGTCATCCAAAAAAAGTAAAATATGGCCTAATGAAATATTTAAATCTTGATTCTTATCAGTTGTGTCCTAAAATCACAAAAATAATACAAAAAATACATTAACATTTCAGAAAAATATGTAAACAATAATAGTAAAGCACTTATTTGAGGAATGAATACAATAAAATACAGCATAATAATTGTTGTTAAAAGTAAGACTTACATAATATATTGCATTCATATTACCACCATCAAAAAATGAATTCAAAAGAATTTCTGAAAAAAGTTTAAAAAAAGATTTTGCTTAATTAAAACTCTTTAATTCAAATGCATATAAATTTTAATTTAAAAAAAAAAAACGAATTTATTAATTAAAATTCAACAAAATCAAATACTTGTTTTTTCATTATCATAACTTTTAATTTCAATATGTTTGAATGTAAAGTGGGATTTTTTTGCATCTGCACAATTTTCGGAAACTAAAGTTAGCTTTTGAAGACAAACTGTCAGAAGTGGACGTTCTATTAATGTGTTTATGATAACTAAAACCTAACAACATGAGTATAGTTAATACAATTAATCAAATGTAACAATTTAAAATGAATGCAATTAATTTAACATAAAGTTTAAAAATTCTAAATTTCTTATTCATTAACCTCATTAACATCAGCATGGATTAATAAACTAGACTTTGCAGTTGTAGAGTTTAAAACTAAACATTCATTGTCTAAAAATTATCAATATTATGTTAATACATATACAAAATCTTGTACAATTATGGAAATTGAGCAATTTGAAAACCTCAATGTACTTAACTCAAAATCATAATTTAGTTTAAAAACTTACTGATCCCTTATGTAGAACAAGACCAGTCCAATATATACTTTTAAAATTAGCTCAGAATTTATTTCAATGCAAAGTTTATTTTTATTGACTCTATTTTTAAAGACTCTCATAATAGTTATTTGTATTTTACCTCAAATCATGAACTTAGATGCTTATCTGGAATGTGTCAAATTTCATCCTAGAGTAGCCATACATTATATTTAACCAAATTTTTAGATAACAGGCACAGAACCACTAATCATTTGCACTGCATGAATTTTAATTATATAGCTGATACTATGAAATATAGGACACAAAATAATACAGTAAAATAATACTATTAATGTTTGCAAATGTAGTTATTACTATTTAATGTAATTATTACTATGTAATTATTATATTTACTTGTGCAAAGGTTTTTAAAACTGCCACTTTGCACCACAAGAAAAATCATTAGTCCAATTGTTGTAATTATAAACTTAAATTATACTTTTATCTATATATTTCGTAGCCATACCTTTTGAAAAGTTTTTATGTCTCTGTCACAACATTACATTAGTACTAAAATTTTAGGTTAGTACTAGCTAGGCTTTCATCATTTGCATACAATATTGATGGCAGTTTTCCTGAAATATGATTTTTGTTTAATGATTTATCTAATTTTTTAGTTTTTTTTTTGTTTTGTTACATATATATATCTTTTGAAACACATTGGTATTTCACAATAATAACATTAATAATTTACCTATAGATAACAGAGAAATAAACTCATAAGAAGGCTTTCCTTCTTTTAAAAATTATATTACCCTCAGAAATTCAAATTTGTGTACACCAAGCCATTTTTATGCTTTCATATGGTTGACAAGTTGCTGTTGATTTTTTCTTATTTAAACCCTTGCTTGTCTGTTTATTCATGTTTATGCATCAAACTTTTGGTGAATTAAATGTAAACATTCAATGCAATATTATTTATAAATATGTATTTGATTGTCCTAGACCATCAGTTATATTATGCGGTTGGAAACCACATTTGTACATATAAATATAAAAATTATAACAATAAATGCATTCACAAATGATATTCTTTTACTATATCAGACTTTATTCTGAAACTAACATGCTATAATTAAAGATTAAGTCATTATTCTCTTTTCAAAATAATTTAGTGTAAAAAAGATTACTAGCCAGCGCCTTTTGCACACCAATATATATATATATACAGTTTACAAACTTGAATAATTTTTTTTTTTATCAAATGATAGACTGCCTTCCCTAACCAAACCCTTAGTTGATATAGCAGCACTCCGTTGCGAGTCAGGCTATTTGTCAGTCGATGTAGCAGCACTCTGTTGCAAGTCAGGCTATAAGTCAAGGCTATATATATATATATATATATATATATATATATATATATATATATATATATATATATATATATATATATATATATATATATATATATATATATAAGTAAAGTCTATAAACACTACCAGCAGAATTTGATTTTAAGATACCAAATATATTCAAGAAGAGAAATCCATCATTAAGAACATCATTGTGAATTTTTACCTAAATGTATAAATATTAATATTAATTTAGAAATAATAATACTTAATACTTACAGTTTAAAAATAATTTATTATTTCTTCAAGTTTTTAAATCTTTTTTTTTTTTAGATTTTTATCAAAAATATAAAAATATAACTTAGCACAGCTTATAAAATAAAAATTTATTTAAAAAAAAAAAAGACTTTTGTACATTGTATAATTACTATGTTTTAATTTTAATAAAAACTTCAATTCAAATTTAATATTTTATTTTGAGATCCAGGTTTTGTTTATTTTTTTAACATTTGTTTACAACTTGTACAAATTGAGAGAATTTTTTAATTTTTGATAAAAATTATAAGAAATAATAGGTTTAAAAACCTGAAAAAACAATAGATTGTTTTATAGTATTTTTGTTTTGTTTAAAACTCTTATTTTAAATTACAAACACACTGATTTATAAAACAACAGTATAGTAAATTCATGTACAATGTACATATGTGTACATTATTCAGAATGATTTCAAAAATAATATAAAACTTTTTGTAGAATTATACTAGTTCTTAAACTTTAACTTTTATTGTAAACTTTAACAAATTTACAATAAAAGTCAATAATGAAAACTTATATATGTTTACAATACTATTTAGTTTTACAATAAATAAAGCTTGTGTTATAGGGCATATGCTACCAAAACCAAATTATTAATAAAAATATTTTTACTGAGATAATTGCAAGATGAATTTTTATCTTTATATCTTGATAAGGTTTGTTCAATGATCGCTCACACTCAATTTGTATTGATAATGGAAAAATGATTTCTTCAAGATTCCTAAAAAATATTTATATATTTTTTTATTATATATATCTATATATTATATAAAACTTTTATATTATGAACTTTAAAAGCATAAACATGTGTAGTATATTATAAAAATGTAAAACATAATGTATACATAATATATTGTTAGAATTTACATAGTGTATTTAAGAATCATAACATTGTGTTCGAAGCATATAAAATGATTAGTAAATTTACCTTAAAAACTTAAAATCATTAACATCAATTTGTAACTTCTCATAAAAAAATATTTTATCTTTATAAACAGAAGTTGATATATCAATACGCCCAAGGGCAATCATAAAACAGCTTGAAGATAGCCTGCTTATAGGAACATAAATGTCTGGAGCATCTAATGACATTATTAGTTGGATTTTTAAACTTTTATTTGTAATACTCTAGGGTAAAAATAGAAATAAAGCTATAAACATAACATAAAAATATATATTTTATTATTAAAAATTATTCAATAGTTTTACATATATGTATATTTATATATGTATACATAATATAATACCACGTATCTACAATACATTTTACTAGAAAAGTTTAAAACTTTATATTTTTTTTATTTCAACAGATTTTAGGTTAATTTTAGTATAAAGAGTATTATTCATGTTTTTTGTGATGTCAACAATAGATATTTGCTAGTTATGCGGAATTGCACTATCCTTGACAATATATATATATATATATATATATATATATATATATATATATATATATATATATATATATATATATATATATATATATATATATATATATATATATATATATATATATATATATATATATATATATTTATATGTACTATTTAAAAAAATTTTATATTAAGAACAAACCATGCACAGGGCCTTTTTAAAAACCGTGTTGCAAACCATTGGAATAAATTAGCACAGAGAGTAATTAATATACCTACAGTAAACTCTTTTGAAAGTTATGTTTATGATGTTAATTTGGGTGCAGCAATATTAATCATCAGGGTATGAACGCCTGGTGTTGCTTTCGTTCATCAATATTAAACTTTTTATGTATAAGTTTGATTATTTTTATAAATAAATAAAAATCTAAGATCTTTTTGTTTTCAGTTGATGTCCATCTAGACAGAAGATTCTGCTTTAAGTTTTTGGGCACCAGTTCAGCTCAGATTGCCGCTATAAAACTAATTGCAAAACAATGACTGAAAATTATTGCTGCTTTAACTTCAACCAAAAAAAAACAACTCAACAAAATTTTTTGAAAAGTGAATGATGATAGTGAATCACAATGAACCTGAATATAAAATTTTTTTCCATGAGTTTCCCAAACATAAGCTTGAAGTAAATATCTTTAAAGTTGTGCTGTGTCATTTTATTCAACAAATTTATTTTAAAATTGAGATTGTAAAACTGTTTCATTAAGATGCTTATTTATCATTTTTAAAAGAACTTTATGTTTAACAACTTTATGGAAGATATTTTAATAGTTTGAAGTAGTCTTCATTTTTCACTTCTGGAAATACTTTAGGATCTCTCAACCAAATGTACTCAAAGGGTCTGTCTAATATCTAATCTATATAAATTCTAATTCCAGTTTTTTAACCCAATGCCAGTACCTGCTGCAGAAGGTGAATGACCTTTAAGTAAATTAAAATTGATTTAAAAAAATGATTTTAGAGCCACTATAAAACAAGGGATTTAAAAGCATCTATCGAACATACATGTTGAAAATAAATTAAAACTCTGTCGTAAGGTGACATAGTAATAATAACAACTTTTGCCAGTAAAAAGGCAAAAAAGAGTGTTTTCAATATAATTTGTTTGTTTTTATAAAATGTATTTATAATTTAGAAGACGATGAAAAATGTTCTAAACTTCATTGGCAGGAATGGGACAAAAAAGTAATTTATTTAAAATGAAGCTGTTTTTAAACCTTTAGGGTCAATACATACAAATTAGTTAAAAAGATAGTTCAAAATATATGCAAAAAAAACATATAGAACAAATTCAAATAAATTTATTATTTTCAGGGTTTGCAAAACAAAGTTTTTTAAGTGGTGAAAAATCACAATAAGTATCAATTATTTGCTGATTAAGCACAATACAAAAAATAACTGCTTTTATAATGCTCTTTCATAGGATGAAATAGTATGAGTAAAAAGACAGTTATTCTACTGAAAATATTGTTCATAACAAATATTTGCTATTGAAATAGAAATCCTAATCTTTTTTGATTTTCCTACAAAATTTTGACATATCTTAGACTAAAAATGAAAATAATCAAATCAAATTTGGCAGCACTTAGTAATCTTTTTGTGAATCTCCTTTTTAATAGTTTATATTCTTATGTGTAAAGGATCATGTTTTTTTGCAGACATGTGCAATTTTTATGTTTAGAAAATATGATCTTTAAATATTTTTTCCTGTAACTCCAATATATTAGAAACTTTCTGTTGACTTGTTTTGACATTGCATATTTAAATAAGATTTTTACTTAAACAGAGCATGGGCATTGGGCATGAATCTGTCGATTACACAATGGAGGATTAAGATTAGAAGTATTTGATAAAAAGTTTTTGTTATGTAATGTAACGATGTTTTGAATTTCTTTTTTTAATGCTAGTTCACTTTTCCAAGGCAAGAAGGCCACTACAGTCAATGAGGCTACTTTAGTTGTGGTTACAACCCTCTCTCAACTCTATAACTCCAAAACACAAACCTTGAAAAACAAGGCCACTGCGCAGAGAAAAATTGAGCGCAGTACTACAAGGGACATGGGGGATCAAACTTGAATGTTTGGAGGACAGCTATAGTTAAATTTTACATTATTTTGGTTAAAAAGTTTATAGATTTTTCAAGAAGTTTTTATCAATTAAATTGAATAAAGTTTAACTAGGGTGACCCTTGAAATTTGAAAATGAAATTACATGACTTTTCCATGACTCAGTAATATTCAGTACTTGCCATGCACTTAGCCATTGCCACTTGTTCAGTAAAAAACATGCAAACAAAAAACGAATTGCTAGAATGTTCTAAAATCATATCTGAAAGAAACTCTGATGTTTGCATTATAACTAATTTGTGCTTTTGTTTACAAAGTTTGTAACTTTGTAAACAAAAGCCCATGAAAAATTTATAACTTTAAAAATAAAGGCACATGATCTTTTAAGAGACCAATTAGCGACAATAAGAGCACATGGGGAGTACTAGGTTTTTACCCTAACCCTAATTACAAACTCAAATTATTATGCAGATTAAAAAATTACATTTTTAATATTTTAAAAGAAATTTTTTTTTCGACAATATGTTTATAAATTTATGAACAATAATATAACTGTTATATATTTGTTCATAAATTTATCTAATAACGATTATGCTTATTGTTTATTTTTGCAATATTATGCATATAATGCATAACTTTACAAGTTATGCATTATATGCATAATAGCTAAGTTGGTTAGAGTGTCAAACAAAAAGTTAAAATCCAGACTGTTAAACTTTAGGAGTTCAAATCCTGCCACAGCCTACTCAATGCTTAAGTAGTACTTTGGTAAGCAAAAATGTTGGTCAATTACGGACGCTACTTTGGATTGGTCTTAATGACTATTTGTAGTATATTGGTAAGCCAACAATATCTTTGAATATAAGAACATTGTATAGAAAAATATAGCATGAAAATTCAAATAAATAAAAAAATAATAATAATATATGCACATAAAATAGAGTATAATTGCTAAAATAATTTACTCTAAATATTTTAGGATTCTTAATAACAAATATCTATCAACTTTAACTTTTTTTGTGCAAGAATCATTAATATGAATTTTTTGTTTAAATGGTTAAAGTAACAAAGTTAAAATTTTTGAACCAATACAAAAAATGCTAAAACATTCAATTTCTTTGCTTAGGGTAACAATAAATGAATATCTTTGTTTCTCTTTCTTACACAATAATTTCCTCAGAGGTTTCTTTTTTCTGCTTTCTTAGTAATAATAAACACATTTTCTTTTATTTTCATCTAAATATTGCACAAATCGAGACTTGCAACCTTTTGTTAATTCATTATTAATTGTGAACATCTTGTTTTGATGCGGTTGGTTTCTGTCACATCTTTAATGCGTAAATTAAAGTTGATTGCTGTTTTAAGGTGTATTTGATTAGCTGGCAATTAATTGTACTTTTTGACACATCAAGCTTGATAAGTTGTTATGAAGTGGTTGCACCATTCAATATATCTTCTTTTATAAAGATGCATTAAATCTTTTGAAGCTTCTTTTCTTAAGTATCATTGAGGAAAGGAGTCATTGGATAAACAGTTTAGAATGCCACCAAATATTCTTAAAAACGCAGTGCAATATCCCTACAGAATTCCAACTTTACTATTAAAAGTTTGTCCTTATAATGACCTATTAGTATATCATACAATTTACATTTGGGCCTTGGGATTTTGCTAAGACTTTCCCAGTATAAATAGACTTAAAGAACATTTCCCCAAATACTAAATATATATAATAAAGCCATTTCCCTAAATACTAAATATATATAATAAAGCTATTAGGCTTTATTAGTAATTGCTTCATCCTCAATCCAGTTTGTTGAACAGAATCTAATAGAAAGTAACAAGTAATCAATATCAAATTAGAATATCTGTCTGTTCCTTTTAGAGTATATGATTTATAAACTCATCATAGGAGACAACAAAAAATGCTGATATCTGAGCTTCCTTAATGCATTTTTAAAATAAGGATACATTCCAAAGTTTATTAAATAGCCACAAAGCAATTTTCAAGTAAACTTTAACTCTAAGTTAACAAATTAAATTAAAGATCTCAAATTTAAATAAACTTGAAAGAGAATATTGATCTGGTGGGAAAACTATAAGATCATGTTTACATTTATAAGTAGAGTGGCAAAACTACTTCTTAGAACGCCAGCAACAAACTGATGAGTAGAACATATTTTTAGTACTGCAGGAGATATAACTTGTGCAGAAGGGTCACACCAGAACATTCAAATCAAATAATAATTTTATAATGAAACTTTCATATATGTAAAAAAAAGTTTCATATATGTAAAAATGTTTTACATTTTTGTAGGAACATTCCTATAATATAATATTGCATGCTTTGATAACAGTCTGACATCATACTAAAATAGGTAGCTAAAGAGAGAAAAAATTGTTACCAAAATGCTATCTATATGCACAATAGTAGATAAAAAAAAAGTACCTTAGGAGCTGCAGTAGTAGCATTTGAAGAATAATTAATACTTTTTTTAAACTTATTGACTGATTCCTAAATATTACAACATCATTTGTTTTATATTATGTAATCAACAAACTATTTCTTGTTTATAAACTAAAAAAATACTGCATTGTAAAAAATTATAGACTTATAGTTGTATAAATATTATTATACACAAATTACCAAGAGCTGAGTTAAAAATTCAGGAATAATAAATATTTTCACTTTTCCAACTTGAAGAATGATTTTCAAGTCAGGATCAATACTCTCTTTTTCAATATTGCTGTTAAAAACAATCTACAAAAGCAAATCGACAAAAAAAAAAAACTACTTGAAATTTTTTAACAGTTTAAAGACTTTTTAAAAAATTTTAAATAAAAAGGCTACCTCGCAGTAAAACCATGTTTTGAAAGTAGTAACAGATAATATCTAAATATAATTATCAACTGTGACTAATTTTAAAAAAGTTTAAAAAATAAAGTTTAAATTTTTTGAATTTTTACATATTATACATTAATGCAAGAATTCACTCATAACATGGCTGCAAGCAACCACTCATAACATGGCTGCAAGCAACCACTCATAACATGGCTGCAAGCAACCACTAATAACATGGCTGCAAGCAACTACTAATAACATGGCTGCAAGCAACCACTCATAACATGGCTGCAAGCAACCACTCATAACATGGCTGCAAGCAACCACTCATAACATGGCTGCAAGCAACCACTAATAACATGGCTGCAAGCAACTACTAATAACATGGCTGCAAGCAACCACTCATAACATGGCTGCAAGCAACCACTCATAACATGGCTGCAAGCAACCACTCATAACATGGCTGCAAGCAACCACTAATAACATGGCTGCAAGCAACCACTAATAAAGTATGGAGT